AAAAAACAGAAAATTATTAATGGTCACGAGATAAAATGAAAGGTATTAAGTGTTGACTTATTTATCGTAAAACAATTAATATTAAAAATTAATTAAAAAAACATAATATTTATTATTAATTAAATTTGCAGTAATTGAAACATAAAGAAAACGCAAAATATTATAACCTAATTATTATTATATATGAAAAAAATATAAAATATTAAAATAAAATGATAATGATTATTATTATTATATTATTAATTATATTATTTAAATTAAAAAAGTAAACATCTCAAAAAGTCTATAAATGAAATCAATGCAAGAGACAAAGAACAAAAAAATATTGAAACCAGATGATATATACATCGCAATTCAAAGACAAACAAAAGAAATAAAATTCTTATAAAAATACCTTTAAACATTTTGTGTAGTTTTTGGATTTATTTTTAATTTTTTTTTTTAAAGTTTTAAATCTTTTTTTTTTAATTGGACGAAAATGGTTTGTATTTAAAAGGCACCCTTTTTTAGGGTTCTTATTTAAAATTACAATAATTTAATAACATATTTTTATACCTTCCACCATAGTATGGAGGATATATTAAGTTTGTCATTCCGTTTGTAACACCTCGAAACATACATTTTAGACGCCACAAAGTATACATATTCTTGATCAGCATACTTTCAGATCAGATCAGATTTTATGTCGATTTAGCGATATGTCCGTTCGTCTGTCCGTCTATCTGTCTTTGGAAATCACTCTAGCCTCCGAACGAAATGAAGTAGGTTAATAAAATTGTACTCAAATGTATATTATGTCTGCAGGACTTTTGGTATTGAAAACGTAGGTCCATGTATGTCCACGTTTTGGTATAGCCCCCATATAACGGTACCTTCCGATATTCGGTATGTTGATGATTTTAGCGACATTATTCACCAGAATTGTTTCAAATTTAGTTTTTGAAGTTCAAAATAGATACTACAGCCTAAGACAGGAGATTGTCTGTGCGGGTCCACGTCTTCTTACAGCCTCCATACAACGGAACCTCCCGATATTCGGCATTTTGATAATTTTAGCGACATTATTCATCGGAAATGTTTCAAATTTGGTATTTGAAGTTCGTAATGGATACTACAGCCTATGACAGAAAATTGTCCGTGCCGGTGCACGTTTTGGTATAGTCCCCATATAACGGTACCTCCCGATATTCGGCGCTTTGTTGATTTTAGCGACATTATTCAGCGGAATTGTTTAAAATTTTGGATTTGAAGTAAGAAATGGATACTCTAGCCAATGAAAGAAAATTGTCTGTGCAGATCCACGCCTTCGTACAGCCCCCATAGCTATTACCGGAATTGTTTAAAATTTGGTATTTGAAGTTCTTAATGGATACCACAGCCTTAGGACAGAAAATTTTCTGTGCTGGACCACGTCTACGTACAGCCCCCATATAAGGAACCTCCCGATGTTCGGTATTTTGATAATTTTAGCGGCATTATTCACCAGAATTGTTTCAAATTTGGTATTTAAAGTTCAAAATGGATACTACAGCCTAAGACAGGAGATTGTCTGTGCAGGTCCGCGTCTTCGTATAGCCCCCATATAACGATACCTCTCGATATTCGGTTTTTGATAATTTTAGCGGCATTATTCACCGGAATTGTTTCAATTTGGCATTTGAAGTTCGTAATGAATACTACAGCCTATTATAGAAAATTGTCTCTGCAGCTCCACGTCTTCGTATAGCTCCCATATAACGGTACCTGCCTATGATCGTTTGGTTATACAAACCCTTTGTGGGGGAGGTACAGAACGGAATGGTTCGATCTCTAACATCTTCATAACAGATCTTTTGTTGATGGAAATATTGAGATTTTTCAAGTATGAATGGAATCGGATGTTAATATTCACGTTTTATGAGCTTTATATTTATTCAAAATTTTGAGTCCTTGTGGGGAAGGTACCAGAAGGAGTGGGCCGATATATCCCATCCCATACTTTGAGATAATTAAAATATTGTAAGGTGTTGAAATTTGAAGATAGTCTGATGCTTATTTCGGGTTTTATAATAGTTTTGGTTATTCAAAAGTTTGACTCTTTGTGTGGGAGGTACCAGAAGGCATGATCGATCTCTACCATTTTTATAAAAGATCTTGTGTTTGATGGAAATATTGACTGGTGCCAAGTCTGAATGGAATCGGAATTGGAATTTCGCGCTTTATGAGCTTCACGGATATTCAATGTTTTGACCCTTTGTGGGGGATGTTACCAAAAGGAAGTGGACCTATATATTTCATCTTCACATCAGACCTTGGGTTAATAAAGATATTGTGATGTGTGAAATATGTATAAAGAGAACCGGATTTTGGATTTTATAATCATTTTGGTTATTCAAAACTTTGGCCTTTGTGGTGGAGGTACCAGAGATTTTGTGTTGATAAAAATATTGACATGCACCAAGTCTGAATAGAATCGGATGTAATTTCCGTTTTAGAGCTTCATGAATATTCTAAATTTTGGCCCTTTGTGGGGGGTTACCAGAAGTAGTGTATATCCAAAGTGTTCGAACTGTACTAAATTTGGTACAATTTGGGCGAAGG